CACTCAGAGTGTCTCTCAGGGCCTGAGAGTCACTCAGAGTGTCTCTCAGGGCCTGAGAGTCACTCAGAGTGTCTCTCAGGGCCTGAGAGTCACTCAGAGTGTCTCTCAGGGCCTGAGAGTCACTCAGAGTGTCTCTCAGGGCCTGAGAGTCACTCAGAGTGTCTCTCAGGGCCTGAGAGTCACTCAGAGTGTCTCTCAGGGCCTGAGAGTCACTCAGAGTGTCTCTCAGGGCCCTAGAGTCAGTCTCAGTGTCTCTCAGGGCCTGAGAGTCACTCAGAGTTGTTTTTTTTAAATTTTTGGTTGCTCTTATGGACTGCGTAAACTGAGCACCTTTCCATTCGAAAGTTCTACAAGTACCCCAAGGACCATCGGAACAGTTAGTCTTCCATGTTAAACTTTAAAACTCCAGCTGTCTCTCTGGATAAAGAGTGTTCTGCGGACAGTTCCGCCACACGTGTCTTGAACTCTCACTTTAGACCCAGTGAGAGTCTAACGTGGTCCATTGTTGCTCCCATGGACTGAGAACTTTAACTTCCTTCTCTTTCCAACATTTACAATAGTACATTCTGGATGCAGTTGGTGCAGACCATTCCATAAGAGATCTTGAACTCCCTCCACTTTCCACCTCTCTGAGTAAAGCCTACCTGACATGTGCTGAATAAAGCACATGTTAGAGAGTTGGCTCCCCACTGACACTCTGCATACAGACTATGCTTCGCAGTGTTTCCGCCTGCAGGTCTTGAACTCAGACCCATCGGAACCGCAACGCATGTCTTTACGCAGTGCGCCAGCCGAGCACTGACCCATCAAGCCGCTCGAACTCCTAAAAGTACCTCAAGTCGTCTTCCGTGTTTAACTTTAAAACTCCAGCTGTCACTCTGGATAAAGAGGGTGCTTCGGACCTTTCCGCCTGCAGGTCTTGAACTCAGACCCATCGCAACCACAAGCATGTCTTTACGCAGTGCGCCAACCGAGCACTCACCCATCAAGCCGCTCGAACTCCTAAAAGTACCTCAAAGACGGTCTTCCGTGTTTAACTTTAAAACTCCAGCTGTCACTCTGGATAAAGAGGGTGCTTCAGACCATTCCACCTGAAGGTCTTGAACTCAGACCCATCGGAACCGCAACGCATGTCTTTACGCAGTGCACCAACCGAGCACTCACTCCATCAAGCCACTCGAACTCCTAAAAGTACCTCAAGACGGTCCTTCCGTGTTTAACTTTAAAACTCCAGCTGTCACTCTGCATAAGAGGGTGCTTCAGACCATTCACCTGAAGGTCTTGAACTCATACCCATCAGAAACCGCAACGCATGTCTTTCCGCAGTGCGCCAACAGAGCACTCGCCCATCAAGCCACTCGAACTCCTAAAAGTACCTCAAAGTCGATCTTCCGTGTTTAACATCAAAACTCCGGCTGTCACTCTGGATAAAGAGGGTACTTCAGACCATTCCGCCTGCAGGTCTTGAACTCAGACCCATCGGAACCGCAACGCATGTCTTTAAGCAGTGCGCCAACCGAGCACTCACCCATCAGCTGCTCGAACTCCTAATAGTACCTCAAAATCGGTCTTCAATGTGTAAACTTCAAAACTCCAGCTGTCACTCTGGATAAAGAGGGTGCTTCGGACCATTCCGCTTGCAGGTCTTGAACTCAGACCCATCAGAACCGCAACGCATGTCTTTACGCAGTGCGCCACCGAGCACTCACCCATCAAGCTGCTCGAACTCCTAATAGTACCTCAAAATCGGTCTTCCATGTGTAAAACTTCAAAACTCCAGCTGTCACTCTGGATAAAGAGGGTGCTTCGGACCATTCCGCTTGCAGGTCTTGACTCAGACCCATCAGAATCGCAACGCATGTCTTTACGCAGTGCGCCAACCGAGCACTCACCCATCAAGCCGCTCGAACTCCTAAAAGTACCTCAAAGTTGGTCTTCCGTGTTTAACTTTAAAACTCCAGCTGTCACTCTGGATAAAGAGGGTGCTTTAGACCGTTCCGCACCGGGTCTTGAACTCAGACCCATCAGAAGACATGCGTGCGGTTCCGATGGGTCTGAGTTCAAGACTGCAGGCGGAACATTGCGAAGCATAGTCTGTATGCAGAGTGTCAGTGAGGGAGCCAACTCTCTAACATGTGCTTGATTCAGCACATGTCAGGGAGGCTTTACTCAGAGAGGTGGAAAGTGGAGGGAGTTCAAGATCTGCTTTTGGAATGGTCTGCACCATACACTGCATCCAGAATGTACTAATGTACATGTTGGAAAGAGCAGGAAGTTAAAGTTCTCAGTCCATGAGAGCAACAATGGACAACGTTAGACTCTCACTGGGTCTAAAGTGAGAGTTCAAGACACGTGTGCGGAACTGTCCGAAGCACACTCTTTATCCAATCAATCAATCAATCAATCAAATTTTATTTGTATAGCACATTTCAGCTACAAGGCATTTCAAGTGCTTTACATCATAAACACAAAACACGAAGGCATGCAACATAGAATAAAAATACCAAGGTTTTTTTTTTTTTTTTTTTTTTTTTTTCTTTTTTTCTTCTTTTTTTTCCTCCCTTTTTTTTCCCCTTTTTTCCACTTTCCTCTTCTTTCCCTTTCTTCCCCCTTCCCTTTGACACGGAATTTAAGCGCCTGTTACCGCCGGGACTCCGCCGTCCGTTTAACCACGGGTATTCGCCGGCCCCGTTGCCCAACAGGAAAAAAAAAAAAAAAAAAAAAAAAAAAAAAAAAAAAAAAAAAAAAAAAAAAATTACATACATATCCACAAAATCAAATCCATACATATTACATTTCAAATGCAACTCTAAACAGGTGCGTTTTTACTTGAGATTTGAAGGAAGTCAGGGTTTCCGCTGTTTTACAGTTTTCTGGAAGTTTGTTCCAAAGTTTTGGTGCATAGATGCTGAAAGCTGCTTCTCCTCTCTTGGTTCTGGTTCTGGGGATGCAGAGCAGACCAGAACCAGAAGACCTGAGAGGTCTGGAAGGTTGATACAACAACAGCAGATCTTTGATGTATTGTGGTGCTAAACCATTCAGTGATTTGTAAACTAACAACAGTATTTAAAATCTATTCTTTGAGCTACAGGGAGCCAGTGGAGGGACTTTAAAACTGGTGTTATGTGATCTATCTTCCTGGTTCTAGTGAGAACGCGAGCAGCAGCATTCTGGATCAGTTGCAGCTGTTTGATTGATTTGTTGGACAGGCCTGTGAAGATGCTGTTGCAATAATCAATGCGACTAAAGACAAACGCATGAATGAGTTTCTCTAGATCTGGCTGAGACATTAGTCCTAATCCTGGAGATGTTCTTCAGGTGATAGAAGGCCGATTTTGTTACTGTCTTTATGTGGCTCTGGAGGTTCAAGTCCGAGTCCATCACTACTCCCAGGTTTCGGGCCTGATCACTAGTTTTTAGTTGTGATAACTGAAGCTGTGCATTGACTCTAGATCGTTCCTCTTTAGGTCCAAAAATAATGACTTCAGTTTTATTTTTGTTCAGTTGGAGAAAGTTTTGGCACATCCACACATTTATCTGTTCTAAACATTTATTCAGTGATTGGATGGGTTCAGAGTCACCTGGTGACATCGTAATGTAGAGCTGTGTGTCATCCGCATAGTTGTGGTAGCTAATATTATTTCCTGTTATGACCTGAGCTAGTGGGAGAATATAAATATTAAATAAGAGGGGTCCTAGGATTGAACCTTGGGGTACCCCACATGTGACCTTTGACCTCTTTGATGAGAAGTTTCCAATTGAAACAAAGAAATCCCTGTTCTTTATGTAGGATTCAAACCAGTCGAGCACCGAACCAGAGAGTCCAACCCAACTTTCAAGTCGATTCAGTAATATGTCATGGTCGACAGTGTCAAAAGCTGCACTGAGATCCAACAGAACCAGCACCGTGGTTCTCCCACAGTCCGTATTTATATGGATATCATTGAATACTTTTACGAGGGCAGTCTCCGTGCTGTGGTGAGCATGAAAACCAGACTGGAAAGTGTCAAAGCAGTTGGTCATCATGAGGAAACTATTTAATTGTTTACACACAGTTTTTTCAATAACTTTGCTGATGAATGGGAGGTTTGAGATTGGCCTGTAATTCTGCAATAGTGATTTGTCCAGGTTGTTCTTTTTTAACAGTGGTTTGATGACTGCTGTTTTCAAAGCCTGGGGAAAACACCTGATGTAAGCGATGAGTTTACGATTTGGATCAGAGAGACAGCTGGAGTTTTAAAGTTTAACATGGAAGACTAACTGTTCCGATGGTCCTTGGGGTACTTGTAGAACTTCGAATGGAAAGGTGCTCAGTTTACGCAGTCCATAAGAGCAACCAAAAAAAAATAATAAAAAAAAACAACTCTGAGTGACTCTCAGGCCCTGAGAGGCACTCAGATGGCAAACGGACTATTTAGTTAACATGCTAAACATTTAGCTTGCTAACTAAAGCGTGTCGCTAAATATTTTGTTGGGAACTGATTTAGACTTTAAACTTGTTATTAAATACTTAGCACTTGCTAGCTAGTTGGTTGGCAATTTCTGGTTTTGTAAACCAAATACGTAACTTTCTAATTTACATAAATATAAATAAATGAATGTCATGTTTAAAATATAAGTTTTTTTTGTCTTATGACAGGCTAAATAATCCAAAGGAGACAAATAATTTCACTGTTGTCATAAAAAAAAACTGCTTATATGTGTATTTACTGTACCTGTAAATAAAATGATAAAAGATTAAACCGAACAAAGATTGAGAAATGAATCTAAAACACTTCACTTCCCAGCATGCCTTGTTGCCAGGGCGAGTTTGTGGCGTCACGACGGCTATAAATACGTCTGCAGGAAAGAATTCCTCCTCCATTGTTACATTGTAACAAGCGGGGCCGGGGCGAACCGGGGTGGAGAGGGGAAAAAGCGTCTTCTCGTCAGAAAATCTCCAACAATCTGACACCAAACGAAACAAACCAATGCGCGTTTTTTCCCTCCTGTGTTGTTTTATTTAAAAAGCGAGAAGACAGCGAAGTGAGCCCAGCCGACCGAGCCCGGTCCCGGTGAGGAAGCAGAAAGGGGGGTAAAAAAGAAAAGAGCAAAGAAAGAAAAAAAGCGATAAGCGAGCACAAATGACAGCGGATTTCTCCATTGTAATAATTTTCAGCCTCATATTGGGAAGATAGCACATCCGGCTGTGTGCGTTGTTCATGCTGCACCGAAAAATGTTGGGAATAACCCAATGACGCCCCTCTTTCTTCCTTTTTTCCTCTCGGCTGTCCTTTAAACACAGAGGTATGCCACATTTAAATAAAAGCAGTCGCTCCTGTCAGGCCACTGTAATCTTTCGGCGTGCAGAACAATGAGCTTGCAACCCATGTAACCTCCTATAGCTAGCAAGAGACAGAGAAGTATTGCAAATTGACAATCAGCCAGATCACTTTGTTGCAGGGCTATCGGTCGTTTTTGCACATGAAAAGCGTCTCACTGCGCGATAAAAGATTGATGTGCAGCTCGGATTGGAAAGAAAGACGACCTCCGAGGCTGTTGGATTAAGGGTCTCTCTTTCTGCCCCAGGTAAGGAGGTCTAGTGTCTCTTAAATGTGGGCTTTGTGTGTGTGTGTGTGTGTGTGTGTGTGTGTGTGTGTGTGTGAAAGGGAGAGAGGGAGTGGAAAAAAAGGGGGGGGGGGGGGGGGGGAGATGGTTAAATGGTGATTGGGAGGACCGAGCATTTGCCTGTTATAGGCTGATAGTGTTCGGGGTTTTTACAATGCATTTCAACCGACATCATGTCCACTCTGCAAGTCATGGTTAGACTGAAACACACAGCAGCTGCAGCAGCCTCAGTGGAAGAAACTCCACGTCTGATTTTAATTAAAATTCACCTCTTATCGTTTTGCATGAATGTGTGCATATGTAGAGTTGCACAATTTATTGGCTTTCTGTGCAATAATGCAAAAAAAAAAAAAAAAAAGAAAGGATGTAAAACCATGTAAAGCGCTTGGCAGTATCATATTTGGTCACCTTGATGGATTGTTACTCTCCTTGATACACCTGATCTCAATGGTTTAGATGTTAAAGCTCATAAAGAGAGAGGTGGAGACATTTTAGTTATTGCAACATTGAGGTGTATTAGTATTTATTAATATTGTACAGCCAGAATAGATCATAAATTGTGTTTTAAAGAATAGAGCCAGGCACAATAAGGAGCCAGGCAATAAATTGCCCAGAAGTTATTGCGATAAACGATAATATTGTCGTTTGAGACCATTTTCAAGTAATATAATGGTAATGATGGCAAAATAATGCAAGAACACATTCTCAAAGATCAATAAATTCTGTTCTAACCCCTGAGTGGGAATATCTGAAATAAATTAGCAAAACAACAAAAACAACAAATAAAAGAAATAATGAAGTCTCTGTAAACCAAAGGGCGAGTTGCGACCAAAGCACCAGACTGAAGACTTTATCCATCCAGTTTTTAGTGGAAAGAGAAAGATAAAAATGCTAATTATTGAGTTCATTTTAATATATCATGTGATTCATTGATTTATTGGTTATTGTAACAGGCTTTCACACACTATAAGTTGTACATTTACATCTATTCAGCTATGCTAACATCCCACCAAAGCACAGTTTTACCATTTCTTGTAAATATTCTTTTATGCACAGATGTGCAGTCACATGTTTTAAAATTATTACACATTTTAATATAGGTATGCTATTTTTTTACAAGTGCATTGTGTTTTTATGCTGTAAATTTGCCCTAATGTCTTTTATTCTTGCCCTAAATGTCTAATTTAATATTTTCATCTTTATGTGAATCTAAACACTTCAACTTGCCTGTCACTTTGTTGCTGATGCAGCAGAGGGGCAATAAATGTTATTTGATTCTTTTTTATTCAATTATACCTCAATACATGAGCTACAAACATGCAAACTAGACTTACCACTCCATTAAATTCAAGTTTATTTCACCTAGACCAGCACAGTAAACAATGTTAGCTAAGGCTAATTTGAAGAACTCACTTTGATTCACTGATTTGATCAATTTTAATTTGATTTAATTCAAATCAGTGCTGTATAGTGAGTCTCTTTTGACTGAATGTGAATAAATATTCATGTAGTGTGTTAAAAAAAAATCAAGTAAAAAATAACATTTTTATGTCTTATGAACAATAAAAGTTGATATAAAGTTGCACAGAGGCTTATTTATTGATGCTCAATAAAGGACAACGGTTAATTTAATAACATTTACTGGGCACAAAATGTCATTGTTAAAATTATATTTATGACAACAGCTGAGTTTTGGTGAAAATGAGAAAGTAATAGACAAAAGTCCGAGGAAAAGCTGGACTTAAAACTGAAATTAATTTGATAAAACTTTGTAGAAAAATTTCTAGAGTTTGGAATGTCAAAAATTTGCTAGACAAAAACTAGAACATTTTTCAATTAATTTAAGAAATTTTCTAGACAAAAATGTGGAAACTTCCGAGTTTGGAAAATTGAAAATTTGCGAGACAAAAGCTGAGAAATGTTGAGAATAATGTAAGACATCTTTTACACTGTAAATGTGGAGATTTCTGAGACTCAAAAGTCCAAAAATTTTTAATCTTTTGGACATTTCCAGAGTTTCAAAAGTCGTAACAATCAAAATTCTTATAAGGAATGTTTAACAATAAATGTAAGAAATTTATGTTCTTGTGTTTATTATTTGGGGATGTAAAATGCTTACACCTCCATCTGTAAGCATTAATAAAGGGGGTCTCAAGCTAAATTGCCCCCTTCCCTGTCAAAATTGTAAAAATCAATCTATCACATTTTTTGTATCGTACATTTCAGCAACAAGCCAATGTTGCATAATAAAAACACAAAACTACAAAGTCACTGAAAACACCACACAGTCAACAATTAAAACGTTACATTTTGCCAAGACCCATAAAAATATATGTGTCATTGCACCCTGAGAGAGTTTAATGCTAAAGTTGATTTCTGAGTCACAGCTTCTGATTTGGCAGTAATTCAAGGAGCTACTTCACTTTCATCACTAGATGAAAATCTAAAATGCGACATCAGTCGGTCAATCCATTCATCCATCATCTATTCATCCATCTGTCCTTCATCTAACCACTGAATCTGTTTATACATCTGAATTTCTGTCTGCCCAGCCGACCTTCAGCATATATGCATTCATGCGCAGCTCTGCCTAGGACATCACTAATGCAGTAACTGGGCTTTAGTTACTGCATTAATACATAGCTGCATTAAGTTTGTGGTTTTGTTAACGGGCAAAGCGTCGTGTTCTCATCGGAATCTGAGCCACAGCTTAAGGTGCTTCCGTTCACTTTGATTAAAGCTGCAGATGCGATAAATTTCACCTTGTGGCTGTCTGAAAGGGAATCAGGTGGGTTAACGCCATTGAGGCCGCTCGCTTCGAGGCTCTTCGCGTGAACTGCGCTTGCCCAGTTGCCATGGTTACGGCTCCACGCTTGATAATTTCAGAACGGGATTTAATGTGCGACGTTCAGGATGGAGCAGCGGCGGAGGCAGACGGATGAAATGATGGAGGTGGAATACAGGCGACAGGAGGCAGATGTGTTGTTGGTTTCCACATCGTCAGAGCAGAAACAGAGCAAACATTTAGTCTTAAAACATGCAGAGAAAGTTTCCTTGTAACGGATTTGACAGGCATTTAAACACAGTGGCTCTTGTTGCCCGACTGCCCTCAGATAGCAGGTTTCCATGGAGGCAGGTCCGTCCCTAAGCCTCAAACGAAGATATGAAGAGGTGGACAGCGGCTCTCTGTTCTCTACACCTAAGGACTCGGACGATGACATCTCCAGCAGTGACAGCGCAGACAGCTGCGACAGCCTCAACCCACCTTCCACCCCGTTCACTCGTAAGCAACAGCAGAGAAAAAAGAAACACACACCTGGGATATTTAAAGGGGAATTATAATGCAAAAGTCATATTTTGCATCAGTTTTTGCCTCCCAGGGTTATAAAAGTTTTGTTTTTTTATTCTAGTTTATTTTGTTTGTTCTATCTATCTATCTATCTATCTATCATCTATCTATCTATCTATCTATCTATCTATCTATCTATCTATATCTATCTATCTATCTATCTATCTATCTATCTGTCTGTCTGTCGTCTGTCTGTCTGTCTGTCTGTCTGTCTGTCTGTCTGTCTGTCTGTCTGTCTGTCTGTCTGTCTGTCTGTCTGTCTGTCTGTCTGTCTGTCTGTCAAATGAGTTTTTAGAGTATATTTGCAAGTTTTTATTAATTAAATATTGTTTCGTTTTAGTTTAGTTTTTATTAGTTAGTCTTACTTTGGTTAATTTTCAGGTCAAAAAAGTATTGTTTGTGATTTTGTATACACCAATTAGGTGATGGATACTGAAAAATGATTCAATTATCTGTTTTTTGATCTGAAGTTCTTCTTTGCCATTTTGCAGACTAGCATAAGCACAGGCGGAATATGGAGTGCCGTAATTTGGCGATAGCTGACGTAAACTGCGTTTGTAAAGAAAAAAAAACATTTTCACATCAGTTCAGAAGGCTAATAAATATATTCATAAACACGAAAACGAATGCTGTTACGTCTACAATTTCAATATGTTTCAGTTAATTTTATAAATACACAATATGGATGTAATTAGTTGTAATTTTCCACTAATTACCATTTTTATCATTTCACTTGTAGATGCATCAGTGGTTTATGATGTTATAATTGACAGTACTTAGACGTTGTTTATATTCATAAAAATTCAAAATATAAACACAACTCATCTGATTTGGGCCTTTGAGTTTTATATAAATTAGAATGTTTTATGACATTCGTTCATTGAAAAAAATAAAATAAAATTTGTGCCACAACTGCTTCTAAAAGCAGCCCAAAAAAATAAACATCCTTTTTTTTTGGTAATAAGTTTATCTTATGGTTTCTCTAAAATGATCAAACTGTGTCGTTACCTGGCAAATTTTCAGACTAAAAACTCTACTTAAAGAATGGTTTTGGCAAAAATGTAATAATCATGTTTTGTATAACCATACACTTATCATAGCCTGTTTAAGGAAGCACAATAGGTCTGAAATGAAACACTCAGCTCCAACTCTTTGTTCCTCCGTCATCAGCCACCTCCATCCTCAGACAGCACAAGCCGTCGCAGGGCGGGAAGCGGGTTCGCTTCGATGTGGTGACGGTGTACTACTTCCCCCGGCGGCAGGGCTTCACCAGCGTGCCCAGCCAGGGGGGCAGCTCCCTGGGCATGGCGCGTCACCACTCCTCCATCAGACACTACACGCTGGGCGAGTTCGCACGCGAACAGGAAAGCAGCCAAGACACACGCTGCGCCAGCACCTGCGAGGAGAAGCTCAACGCTCGCAAGATGAAGGTACATCCAGGGATGTTCTCTGCATTAATTAAAACCATTCATGATCAGATTATTGACCATTCAGGCAAAACATGCTGACCACTAACAGGTGAACTGATTCTGACTCCATTGACAACACTGTTAAAAAGTAATCGCTCCTTAAAGATGACTTTTTATTTATTTTTTCCACATTTCAATGTTTTTGCATCATGCAAATTTAAATGCATTGAAATTTCTAGAAAATCTGAATAAAAATTGTCAGAATTAAATAAATTAAATAAAGATCTAGAAATATCTGAAATAAAAAAAAAGCATTTTTTAAATTTATTATTATTGAACTGTTTTCATAATTTATTAAATACTTAACTTAAAAATGAATGTAAAAATTATTATATTTACAAGCATTTATATAAATTTCCTTTTTATTTCAGTGGTTTAAATAAGGAAAATATATTTTAAAAATACTGAAATAAATGTATGTGTCTCAGTACATTTATTGAACTCAGATTTCAATAAAATTACAACTTACTATTTTTTAATGTATTGGCACACATAAATATTATACATTTAAAAATATTTAAGTAAAATTTTTATTTATGTTTCTCACATACATAAATATCTTTAAAAAATTGTGGTAACTGGAAAAAATATCTTCAAGAATTTAAAAGTTTTTTATTGATTTATCTTTTTTTTAAAGAAAAAACTGGAATATTGATTTATACTGTCTTTTTTGCACCATAATGTTGGGAACATTTAATCTTCTCTGCCTCTGATGAGGATTGTTTTTTTGAATAATTGAATATTTTCAGATAGTTGTGGAGGAACACTTATTCTTCATCCATCTTTGCTACTTTTTGAACCAAATATGTCCAGAATTAATACCAATTTGCAGAATATTGCAATAACATTAATAATGCAGCGTCTTTCTTTGGATATCCTCCAGATTATTCTCAGATTTCTTTGGGTTTTTGTATTATTCTTACGGTTTTCAGCTACCATTTTCTCTCCCTGCTTTAAATTCAGCTGCATAACCACAGGAGTGGAGAAACTTTCTACCTGCATTACTCACCAACGTTGCATGTGATGTCATCAGCTCGGTTGCTGCAGGCTAAACCGCAACAAAAGGGCGGATGGCCTCTGGGGATTTCAGAAACTCTTTCCACCTCATTTGTATTGCAGCAGAGTATTTTGTATTTTTACCTGAAAAATTCATTAAACAATTCCATTCACACATTTGAAATAGCAGCATAAATGTTTCGGTTTAGTTCCAACCCTGAATCATTTTTTTTTTTTTTTATAGTTGTAGATTAGAAGTGTAGAAATTTGTATATATTGAGTTGGTAAAATATAAATGTGTTCATATTATAAGATATTATAAAAAGAGAAAGAGAAGAGAGATTTTTTTTCTATTCATTAAATGCATCCTGTGTATTTTTAATCCATAAATCTATCAACTAACTGAATTCACTTACATACATATTATTGATTGAATAAGAGAAAGGCATATTCTTTGATCTATGAATATAAATATTATTTCATATCCTTCATTTTTTTGCTGAAGGAAATTAAAATCATTTTATTTAACATTTTTAGTGTTATTTAACCTTTATTTATTTATTTATTTATTTGTCTCTGAGATTGATTTAGAAGAAAATCATGCTCTGATAAAACAAATAAAAAATTATACAAACACCGCAATAAAACAAATATTTAAGACTCAGTTAAACAAGCTAATAAAAATATGAGTTTATAACGAGAACGTTTCATAAAAAGATTTCCGTTTTGGACTAAAATGAAATGTAATTTTCCCAAAGGAATAAAGGATCCTATCTGCTTTGTGCCTTTTAAGAAAACGGGAGTTCTTTAGCCTCATCTACAAATAAAAGAAATCTTTTTAAGTTTGTCACTTTTAAAGATGTGCTTTTATGACGCCGTTGGGATTTTCCTTCTGAGCTGGAGTGAGGACAGCGGTTGCTTCACGGCTCTACTTTCCCTCCCACAGCTGACGAGGAACGGCACGGTGGAGTGCGCTCAGGCGGACCTGCTAACTCTGGAGGACGTCTCCGATGAGGATCTTGACGTGGACGCCGTCGAGGTGGACGACTGTTTCTTCCTCCAGCCTCTGCCGACGAAGCGCCGCCGGGCCCTGCTGCGAGCCTCCGGGATCGCGCGCATCGACGCGCGGGAGAAAACCGAACTGAGAGCCATCCGCCTCTCCAGGGAGGAATGTGGCTGTGACTGTCGCCTGTTCTGCGACCCTCGCCACTGCGGCTGCAGCCAGGCCGGCATTAAGTGCCAGGTAAGACTTGCTAAAAAGAAGGAAAATCTGGCAAATCAGATGCAAAATTCACATTTTGCACTTTTTTCTACTTCTATTTGTGTTTAAAAATGATGCAGCTGCCAAAACGCCCAGCAGGTTTTGGCAATAAGTTTGAGTTTTTTGGTGTCTGGAAAATGAGCCGTTACAAAAATGAGTACCGCAGCTTAAGCAACCCTAGCAGATCCGCAGCTGGTTTTGTCAGCTGGTCTTACTGCTGTATGCTCTGTACAACGGCTGCTGGAAAAGACAAATGTGTTGTTGTTGACTTATCGTCCAGAAAACATTTGCAGGAGGCTCTGCTAATGCTTTTCAAAGAGGTACGGTTGTTTGAAGGCCTTTCCAGTAAGAGAATATAGATCTAGCAAGTTTCAATCGAGCTTATTTGAACTCAGAAACGTCTTAAAAACATAATACTGTCAAAAGCTGTGAAAACAATAGACACTGTATTTTGTGAAACGTTACGTTGAAATAATAAAAAACATAAAATATGTTGGTCAGTTTTTAATTTATTATGGTCCATAAGCAACTCTAAACAGGTGGGGGGGTTTTTATTTAAAGGAACTCAGCAGTTTTTCAGTGTAAATTTTGAGATTAGGGGTGTGGCCAGCAGCAGCTTATTTGGATTTAAAGAGGCAGCAGCTCTTTCTGGAAGCAGATCATAATAGGCAGAACTGAGCAAGTTAAAATCTGATTTCTAAAGGAAATGTAATGAACATGTTTTATGTGGCTAGACCAATCCTAACCTGTTTCTGGAGTGAAGTGGTGAGAAGGGTGTGTTTTGTTTGTTCTTCAGGTGGATCGCATGTCTTTTCCATGCGGCTGCTCCAGGGATGGCTGCGGCAACGCTGCCGGTCGCATCGAGTTCAACCCCCTGCGCGTCCGAACACACTACCTGCACACCATAATGAAGCTGGATGTGGAGAAGAGGAGGACGCCCATAGCGGGTCCCGGGGAGCCGTACACTGAATCCGACCCCTTGTCTTCGCCCTCCTCCACTTGCCCCACGTCCCCGACCCTGTCCTCCGGCATCGGCCTGGACTCGGAGCTGGAGGAGAGCGAGGTGCAGTCGGTGGAAGAGGTCCACGATCTCCTGGTGGAGCAGGATATCCTGGAGCGGGAAAACGAGACGGCCGTGCTGCACCTGCAGAGCGCCGAGGAGCAGGAGAGACGGGAGAGAGAGGAGGCGGTGCAGCAGGAGCTGAGCTCTGCTGGGGTCGCGGGGTCACACCCTCTCTGCCTCCTGCCTGAGCAAGAAGAAGCAGCTCAAGGTGTTGATCAGATCCTCCTGCAGGGACCTTTTCCGACGGGCGCTACCGTCTTGTGCATTTCTGACTCCCAGGAGGAGAGTCCGTCGGAGCTCCTCAAAGACTCTCTGCTCTACTATCAGCTCAGCGCCATCGAGCCCAGCGCCTTCGAGACGCTGCCTGCAGCTGAGGGAGACGAGCAGGATGAGCCTTCACAGGGCGAGCCTTTGCAAGGCGAGCCTTTGCAGAGCGAGCCTTTGCAGGGCGAGCCTTTGCAGAGCGAGCCTTCGCAGAGCGAGCCTTCACAGAGCACAGGTGGAGCTGAGCTCACAGAGAAGAAGCAGGAAGCAATTATAGATTTCCAAGGGGACACACGTCACGTCAATGCCAGCGGACAGATTGTGGGCGACAGTTTGACCAACATGCACTTGTGCACAGATGTGGAGGCGAAGAAGAGTCTCTCAAGTCCGGATAACAACGTCCCAAAAGAGCAGAACCAGGAGTCCGGCTTGGAGAAAGAAGCAGATCCACTGCCTCCTGAAGTTTAGCATTAGCGTCTTTGCAGATATTTTGCACAATAGCTTCATCTAAGATGAGTAAATACTACATATTCCACATTTATCACAGCTATTCACAACATCTACAGGTGTCTTAGGCTACGTTCACACTGCAGCCTAAACCAGAGACGCAGAAAAAAACAATTTTATCAAGAATCACAATTCACAGCTCTGGAAATCGATTTTAAGTTGTAAGTTTTTTCTGCCCTGCGAATAGCATTACATGTTCTCTCTGCCACCTAATGTATTTTTAATAATTCTTTTATATTTTTCTTATTTAAAAAAGCCAGGCAGCAAAGCTAATCTAATGCTGGCAATTTAAGTTACATAATTTTATGCACAGACTTATTTTTGCTTAAATATAAAGTAATTAAACTTGAACAGAGAGTAATCCATAAAGAGAAAGTTGGAAAGTAGGACAATTTTACATTCACATTGAAAAACATTAGCTGCGTTTTTATTACAAATGTGCGTAAAACTGTGTTGATGTTTCACTAAAGTCGAAACAACATAATTTCACAATTGTTTCACTGTTTTCATTAAAAAAGAAAAACAGTTAAAATCACTTCTTCTTTGTCGTTTCTGCCAGTAGTAACATCCGATTGTTGATCATGTGACTTGTGTGACGCAAAAAAAATCATGTTTCCTTTGCAATTTTGCGAAATATGCTTGGTGTTAGTTTTTTTCAAAGTTGTCGTGTTTATATTTGGCAAATTAATTGTCATAATTCCAGTTAGTGAAGTGTTTAGATAAATGGCAACTCAGCCGTTGAGCAGACTCGCTGCTGCACAGTATTACCGTCGCATCTGGATTCAGTTGCAACTCATGTGATGCAAAGAAAAGTTACAATTTTCACAAATACACTAATTTTGATGCAGCCAAAAAACTTCCATCTTAGCACAAAAGGTTCTTATTGAATTGTTCTCTAAATTGGCAAAGTTATTGTCATAATTCAAGTTTGCGCAACATTTAGGTAAATATAAATGCAACTAGTGACCGCGCTCGCTACTTCATCACTGCATGTAGTTCATGCAGGAAATCGCATACAAGTCAACCACAACAGCAACAACAAAAAGTCATTAAAAAAAGTCTGATTTGAGCATTAAGGCCTGCAGTGTGAACATAGCTTTCTAGTGAGTAACATTAAGTTTCTTAAGAGCATCAGAAAACAGAAGCAGAGATGCTGGAAGCACATTACGATCACTCCCAGGGTGCAGCGAGAGAATGAATACATAAAATCAACCTTAGAGGGGATTCTGCGGGGGTGATGAATGCGGCCTTATTTGGAAACCATTAACTCAGCTACAGAAACACAGAGTGCAAATGCTGACTGAAGCCTTTTTGTTGGCTTGATGTATAATAAAGCTATCAACGCTGAACACAAACTGCTAATTGTGTGCAAAATGCCGGCGTACCTGCTGGCTCTTTTTCCACCATGACAAACCTGATGCTGTAGTCGAGCCAAACGAAGGCGTCCGATCGCTCCCTCTGCTAACCACACCGAATGATCCTGGAGATACTTGTTTTTTTTTTGCGTACTGTACACGCAGCATTTGCAACATGCTGGAGAGCTGCTGTTTTTTTTGGGTCTGTGTGCACATTGTGAAGTGAAAGCAGCACCAGCTCCGCCGCTCGGAGATATGAAGGAAGAACCAAGATGGCAGTGGATTAGCACTGGCCTTAGTTGTTACTATCACTTACTTTCGGACTGCCGGCACAATTGCAGTCAAAGGAATGAGAAGAAAAATTCACTGATAGCTAATTTACTGACATTATTTCTTGAATTAATGTGTCTTTTGTGAATTAGATGCTCTTCAGTAATTGCAGTCTGTTTGGGAATGAAAGGAAACGTTATTTCTTTCACAGTGCCACATTGTTACTCCATAATCAGTCATATGTTGTGATAAAATGCCAGAACAGAACTTCTTAGTCAATTCAATGCTTGTTTTTTTGTGTAAAGAAGTGCTGATTATAAATCGAGCCAAACTAGAGTGCCTTGGAAACTAATTTGTTCCCCTGCAACCTTCAAAAAAAGATAAATAAAAAAAAATCATGTCACAACCACAAATTTAAATCAATTTTATTGGTGTTTTGTGTGATGGACTTACAAATATTAGTGCAAAATTGAAGAAAAAGCAAAAGATACATTGTTTTAGGATTTCTTCTACAGATATAAATCTGAAAAGTGTGGAGTGCGTTTGTATTTCCTGACTGAAATTCTAACAAGCTCAGATTGGGTGGAGAACACTTGCCACAGACTCTCAGTAGGAATAAGGTCTGGACTTTGACTAGGCCATTCTAACACATCAACATGATGTAAATGTAAGCACTGTACTGAATCACTAGTTGCATATTTAAGCTCATAATCCAACCCCCTAAAATCCCTCTTAATCTCAATTCATTTGCAACATTTATTATTTTTTCTTATGATTGTCCTGAACTCACCGCTGGTTTTTGGTAAACGGTAAACTGGCCTTCATCAAGTCTGGACGACCTCAAAACGCTTCTCACTGCATTCAGCCATTCACACGCTGATGGTGACGAGCTGCATTTTGTCTGCTGTCTTCCTTCTTCCTGCTGTTTGTTTCATAATGTCCTCCAACACACCTCTGGAGGTGAAACATAATACCGATATTATGTTGCACACAACATAAATATGTGTTCAATCGGCTGCAACTCATGATTATTTTAAGAATTGATTATTCTTGCAATTTCTGTGATGATTAATTAGTTAATCGCATTAAAAAATTTGACACATTCTACAGATTTTTCAATTAAACATTGAAGTAGGGCTTTAACGTCAAATGATTCAAGGACCTTGATTGTTAAAATTTCTCAAGGCAAATTATCTAAAACTTCTTTAAAATATGTTTTAATATTTAGCACCATGATGATTATTTGTGTTGCGCAAAGCTCTGTTGTTGATGAACGCTAAGCTGTATTAGCATAACAAAGGATGACCTGCTGTTTTCTTAATTTTATTAGTAAATTTCTAACTTTTTGTCATTTTTGTCCCGGTTGACTTATTGTTATTATTGTTACAGTTTAACAAAAATAGCTCAGAAAATCTACAGAAAAGTTATTTAGAGATGGATATGAAAAGTTTGGCTAATACTGATGTCCAATATTAACACCACTGTTATGGCATTATTTAAAAATATTTATTTTATTTGTTACAATTTTCTCGAGTACTGAAATAACAATTTACAACAGCCCTACACTTGATACTTTTTTATATACAATGTTACATAAGGAAATAATTCTTGTATTCATTATTTCCATGAATATAAGGAAATAGTTCAATCCCTGTTTAAAATAAGAAAATGAACATTTTATAGCGTAGGAGGCAATAAAAGGACATTCCTTTTGTGAATCTGAAACGATGCCACTATCGCTAAAACAAACTAACATCTTAAGGTGTTTTTATCTTGAATGTTAATGCAGTTAATTAGTGCTCTAAATATGTTGTCGTTTTTCAGCAAACAGCCTTTTTTTTGAGTCTCTATACTCTAATTGACGATAAATCGATTACTAAATTAGTTGACTGTGATTTAATTAATCAATTAATTGTTTCAGAAGTCATTAGTTGATTTCTGAGGCCAGTTGGTTGCACTGGATTTTATTTCGGGGTATCAGTGTGAATTCAAAATCATGTCACATGACAAAATATGAAAACGTTCAAGGGGTATAAATACGTTTACGGGGCACTTCGAAAATAAAAAACAAGCATTTGAGTTAATTGTAATCTGCAACATGTGCAGCTAAAAGTACTTACACCAATCAATGTGATGTTAATAATTTATGAATCAGACTTACAGCTTGATTTTGTGTGTCTGAAATGTGTTTGTGTATTAACCTACTTTACTGTCGTACGTCCATGTTGGTGAGAAAGTTGCGTTTTAAATCCGTGTGCATGCATGCGTGAATGTTACTTAGACTATTAGAGCTGGAACTTTAGTAAGAATGCGTATTTTAAACCTAAAAGGTGCTGATGTTATAGATTTACAACTTACACTTGTGAACCGGTGGGAGGAATGATTTCATGGAGATGTTTCTTGCTGATTGATCCTGAACTAAAAAAGTACTGGAAAGCCTCCTGTAGAAATGCAATAGTTCCCGTACTGCAAATTTTAAATGTGCTGACAGTAAGATGAGGCGCTTTTTCTTTTTTTTTTGTCACCAAGTGTGTAAACGCAGTCGTGTAACTTTATTTTTACTTTTTATTTTTTGGGTTTCTTTTCTTCAAGCTCTGTCTAAAGAACCCGGAGCTGCGGAAGCGAGCCGGCAGCTCTTACACAAAATCTGTCCTTTGTTCTGGTGCCTGAAATTCTCACAGTTGCTTTGGGCAACGGCTCGCCTAACACAGGATGTGCTGCTGTGTATAAGTTGTCTGATGTGTTTCTTTAGCCTTTTGTATTGTCTTTATATAATCCTGTATAAGAGCTGCAACAAGGCAGTGGTTTCAGACCTAATTAAACGACGCCGCCATCCATCAGTCTTTTAACAAAGCGGTCTCCTGTAGTTGTTGTGAGGCTGCAGATTTATCGTGGCTCTTCTGTGCTCGTGTGACTTGCCTTGACATGATACCATGTTTGAAGTAATGATGATTGCAGGCAGAGTATTGTTGAGCTTTTGTCTTTGGCTTTCTGCTCATAGATTTAGGTTTGCGACCACTGTTACCAAATTAACTCTAGCGCTCTCTGTGTTTGTGTGTTTAACTGTATGAAAGGGGTGAGCGATTGTTGAGAAGACTGATGACTTCACCTAAAAGCTGTGAGAACGGGACTCTCATGCTACTTGTTGCCTAAAGTGGAAAAACAAAAGTTTTTATACAAAAATAAAAACAATAAAGTACTTCATTCAGAAATTGTGTTTTATTCTGTGGATGGTTCCCTTTCTTAATATATATATATATTTTTACAGATTATAAGGCTGAAATACCATGGAGATTTTATAAATTTACATGAACAGTCTTAATCCAGTTGAACTGGAGAAAGCCCAGACAGAGCTGTGATGTGAGATTATAATCGAGCAGAATTCAACCAAAAAGACTCATACTTAAAAGTAAAAACACGTTATCAAGTGAAATATGTCGGATGATTGTTAACAAGCCGAGCATTTCAGTTCCAGTATGTTTTTTTTTTTTTTTTTTTTTTACATCTTTCTCATTTAACAAATCTGTCACTAAGTCTTGACAGTGTTTGTTATGAGACATAATTTGTAAAAATATAGATCTTCTTGAAATTCGCCACCAAAAACAACCAATCAGAGTCAGCTTCAAGGTGCTGAAGTTGCTCTTTACCCAGAAAAACAACCTCAATAACATAAAGTCTCCACCTCAAAGCTCTAATATGGAAACTATTCTTTTGGGTCATGGTCCAGTATTTCACTTTCTTGTTGTAGATGAACAATAAGAATTTCTTACAAACTTCTGCAGATAAACTTTCAGAGTTTTGTTTTGTTCTAGGTTTTACATTTCAGTATTGGTTTTTTGCACTCATAAATGACAGACTACTGATAACCCAATGTGGTGTTAAGACCATATTTTAAAAACTTCATCTCTTGGCGTTTTGTGATAAAACCCACAGATATGAGTTTCTATGAAAATCTATGATCTGCCATGTAATTTCAATCCTCTGCATAAAAAAAATCTAACAATGTAACTAAAAACGTTGTGTTCTAGTTGGGTAAAAGATTAGACCATGTCAGCATTTTAGCTTTTGAAGAACATCTCTGTGTGTTTATTTTTATACCGAGGCATTTCTATTGCTTTCTATGTCTAATTTTTTCACATATCACCAGCTTCATTTTGCAAATCTTCATAACCTTCAACTAACCATATGTGCATATTAGACTTATATACATTTAATTTGGTCACTTTATAAATATATATCTTTTTATTTGCATTTGTCTTGCAGCTGTTTGATAAGTACCGTATTGGCTCTGCATATGATATTTGTAGTTCTGAGGCGATTTTCTCTATCAAATTTTACTTTTGTGGTGTAGAAATTGTTTTATGTTCATTCTCTACTTTTATTAACTGTAAATGCAGGGAAATAAACGAACCCAGACTGTAAGGTTTGATGACATGTAACCAACCCAACTGGTGGAAAGTGAGAACCATCAACACTTACCTGCAACACAGTTTCTGAGCGCTAGATGGCAGCATAAATTCACCTCTGTGTCACATGGCGTCCAATCAGTGCCAAGAAAATGTGAGACAAAACAAATAAACAATCCCGCATTGTGGCTTTAATGACGATGGCAGAATCCTTGCAGAGTATGTTAAAATGATGTGCATGAAAATTTAAGTTAATTTGCTTTTTTCTCAACACCAACTGATTTTTGTGCAAAATAATTTATGGCAACAATATTATGTCTTTATTACTAAAACGCTAGTTACTTTGTTTTCCACCTTCAATATTAATATAATTATAGCTATAAAAACTGCTGGGTCTTTTATTTAAGCCTAAATCTGGTTTTATGATGTTTGAACTAAACACAGAAACAAAATTGTGACATAAGAAATTAGAAAGAGCCTTATTATTTTTAAATTATACAAAAACATGATCACAGGGCCCGTTTTAGTCTTCAACACGTTTTCAGACTTTTTGTGGTTTTTCAATCAATTTTCACAACTTTTTTTTTTGTCTCCAAGCAAATTTGCTTCACATTACCAATGCCTGGAATGCAGTCGGATGCTTATTATTTGTATCCTATAATGGTATGGATTTTGTTTTGCAAAGTCAGTTTGAAGCTATACACCTCATAAGGTCTGTTTTCTTTCTTTGCCATTAGATGTTGTGAGGTTGTTGTTTTTATGTTGGTACTTTCAAGCCCCTATTGATAGACTTATTTATTAACTATACATTAGTCCTTCAAACTTGCTGTTAGGAGGTTTAAAATTTAATTTAGGATGTCTGGTCCAACACATAATGCAGCACACTAGAAAAGACCAACATGGTTAACCGAATAACCCAAAATGGATTGTTTTCCACCCAATGTTTTTTACAGCATATTTAGTACAATTAAATAAAAGTTACAAGTCTTTGGGGTAAAACAATAAAACCCAGGCACTTTTCCATGTAGTTTAAGTTTCTTTAAGCTTAGCACTTCAATACACTTTATGTTGACATAAATCCTGCAAATCGGAAAGTTATATTTGAAATAGATTGTTGGTTTCTTTTGATTTAAAAAAGCAGCTGACAAACCAAATGAAATAGAAAAGAAAGAAAGCCTCCAATGTTTCATTTAATGGTAGGATTTACTGTTTCTTGCGTTGCTTTATTAAATTAAAAAGCACTAAGCTAATTTACTGCAGTTTCCCTTAAATGAGTTTCCAAGCTATGCAATATTTCTCTTATTTTCCATTTGTTGTTTTTATTTGTACTAAGCATACAGCTTTAAAAGTAAAAAAAAAACCCCAAACAAACTAATTAACTGTTGAACCTTTGGAACAATTGTGGCGCAGTGCCAGCATTTTGTTTCTCATAAATTTTGGCCTTTCTTCTGCTTTCGCTCCCAAATGGCCGGAAGAGGCCAGTTGAGTCTGACAGCCGTACAGCTGGTGATGGAGCAAATCCCAGGCTTATGGAAAGATTTTACATTAAAAGCCTCCATTATTATCTGACATCTCAGTGTTGAAAGCTGTGCATAACAATCAGCTTAATGTTGGCTTTGATCTTTACTGTTGTGACTGGGCAGAGCCATAAGGAGCATCTGGGAGCTCGGAGTGACGTATGTGAAATGGAAAGTTGCCTCACCGCTTCAGTCCACTGGCCCGGTCTGAAAGTGCTGCTCCAGCGCCAGGAAATAATGCTTTCTCTTATTCCTCTCTGTCTTTGTGACGCCGCCTCGGTGGCATCGTTAGACCTTCACTGAAACCAGTTGCTTTTAAATGGCGCTATTCATAAAAACCTGCCCGTGGTATTTTCACTGGTCTGCGCTGCCACTCACATGCTGGCTGAACCGTTGAGGGAAATCCAGATCGCTGGCGCAAGGTTCATTTTGTGAGCTCTGGAGAGGAATCCAAATTTCCTCCTAAAAGCTGGAAGCAGTAAAGAATGAAAACAACTGCAACTTTCTATTCTCTCCATCCATAATCCATAAAATGGAGCATTTTTACACATAACATACAATTACCTATTTGCTCATTGAATGGAGGTGCTGCTTTTACTTCAATGATACGATCTTTACCGATACTCGTCGGTAAAGATCGTGCAGCCTCAGTTCAAGGTCAAGCAAAACACATTTTAGGTCTAACGACATAAAAGCAAGATAGGAAAATATGAGAGGATATTTTCTTCCCACTAAGAGCAACATCACCAGATGAAGACAAAATTGCACAATATGCAGTTATACCTGCAGTTTAGAGGAAGACTTCTTGCTTAAACACAAGCTTTGTTATTCTAGTGCTTTTTTCTACCTGCTGACACTGTTAAAGAAACACTGAATGTTGACAGTGGAAGAACTTTGTGCTAATGATCTACTGTATTGCAATTTTACATTATTCACTGTAATTCATACAAAATGTGTAGTATGTAATGTATAGTGTCAAGGTTTATATAAAACAAATTGTCTTGTAAAAGTGTTTCCTCTGCCTGGATTTGTTATTTTGTAATTAAGTTGTTTAAAAAAGATTTTAATTTGTTTTTAAAATACTAAATTGATCAGTCTTAAATATTAAATTAAAAGGTCTGATCAGCTAATTACTATATTTCACAAATACGCTTTTACTTTTACTTTTACTTGAGTAATTGAGTTTATGGATGCAGTGTTTTGGGGCCTCTACTCATTTCTGTTTAAAACTAACCAAATCTTCTACTGTTAAAAATGCACCTTTCAGCATTCACTTGCTATCCAAACATAAAATCATAAATGCATTACCTGTGGCCTCCTGTGCCTACTGCAAAACAGTGAAAAGTATCCAGTAATTAAAGGAGGAAATTAACCAGTGCTTGACCCAGAATCCAAGAAGTACAACTGCAAATCAGGGTGTTGTTAAAACTCAGACTAAACAAGAAACTCATCAAGTGCAGTCACAAAATCATCACTTTGAGAACAGAATGACAGCTTGTCAGGACATTTGTAGAGGCCAGTCGTAATAGTGAGTCCAAACTGCAGCCAATCACAGATCAGTACTGGCACAGTCTCCTTCAGTAGTTTCCAAACATTTCGTACTGTGGGGTCGCCAGGGTCACAGTTTATTTATTTCAGTTAAAAATGCAAAATAAATGTCTTCTTGTCTTTTTACCTCTCCAGCAGCCAATTCATAAGTATTTTAATTAAAAAGGCCAGAGAAATATACAAAGTTACACAATTTCAACTTTTATTGATATTGTTATTCCCTGCAACAAATTTCAGCCCATTTTCATCAAGTCTGTTTTTGAGTAAAAACATACAGGAAATCTGTGGCTCTGCTCTCTATGTCATTAAAATCAAAGATACAAAAAAATAATAGAAACAAACAAAATAAAAACTTTGTGTGAATTATGGGTGTGTCTTCCGCTTTAGGCTATAAAATGCAGAAACACCGACTGCAATATTGTTTTACCTATTAAAGGGTGGGAGGATCATGCAAATTTATTTCTGCACTTTCAGTTTGAGCAGTTTTATAGATAATAGAAAAACAGCTTCTGTTTGTTTGTGAGGGATGTTAAAACCTTTATCCAATTCGTAGCTATGGTAACTTACTTTTAGTTTCTAATTTACTAATCCACTCAGAAACATCAGGGAGATTCAAATAAGTTTTTTTTATGCTTAACAGTAGGTTTGGTTTCTAGTAGCTCAGTTCAATTTCTGAAAAAAGCTGAAAGCTGATTTTTTTCCAAAACTACAAATTTAACCGCAGTTTGCAATA